AATTTAGATGACTGTCATGCCCTTCAAGAAGACCTGGACAAAATAAGTATATGGAGCACCACTTGGCAAATGGAATTTAATGTTAATAAATGTCATGTTATGGAATGTGGAATAGGAGAACATAGACCCCACACAACCTATATATTATGTGAGAAATCTTTAAAGAATTCTGATAAAGAAAGAGATCTAGGAGTGGTTCTAGATAGAAAACTATCACCTGAGGACCACATAAAGAATATTGTGCAAGGAGCCTATGCTATGCTTTCTAACTTCAGAATTGCATTTAAATACATGGATGGCGATATACTAAAGAAATTGTTCATGACTTTTGTTAGGCCAAAGCTAGAATATGCAGCTGTTGTGTGGTGCCCATATCTTAAGAAGCACATCAACAAACTGGAAAAGGTGCAAAGACATGCTACTAAGTGGCTCCCAGAACTGAAGGGCAAGAGCTACGAGGAGAGGTTAGAAGCATTAAATATGCCAAAACTAGAAGACAGAAGAAAAAGAGGTGATATGATCACTACATACAAAATAGTTACAGGAATTGATATAATCGACAGGGAAGACTTCCTGAGACCTGGAATTTCAAGAACAAGAGGTCATAGATTTAAACTAGCTAAACACAGATGCCGAAGAAATATAAGAAAATTCACCTTCGCAAATAGAGTGGTAGACGGTTGGAACAAGTTAAGTGAGAAGGTGGTGGAGGCCAAGACCGTCAGTAGTTTCAAAGCGTTATATGACAAAGAGTGCTGGGAAGACGGGACACCACGAGCGTAGCTCTCATCCTGTAACTACACTTAGGTAATTACACTTAGGTAATTACACGAGTTAACAAAGCCCCCCGAACCCACAAAGGGGCCCAAGAGGAAGAAACCTCCGGAACGAAACCCAAGAACCAAAAGGAACCCGGAATCAAACCCGGGGGAGCCCAAACCACCTCATTTGCTGGCGGACATACACCACCATCTTATCTAGAGGTTATCTTGAGACGATTTCGGGGCTTAGCGTCCCCGCGGCCCAGTCCTCAACCAGGCCTCCTTTGACACACCCACCAGGAAGCAGCCTGCAGCAGTTGACTAACTCCCAGGTACCTATTTACTGCTAGGTAACAGGGGCATCAGGGTGAAAAAACATTTTGCACATTTGTCTCCGTCTCCACCGGGGATCGAACCCGGAACCTCAGGACTACAAATACAGAGCGCTGTCCACTCAGCTGTCAGGCACCCCACCAAAGGCAAAGCACAGCACCCAGACAGAACCCCCCAGGAAAATGGCCGAAACGGACTGAATACTGAGGGACAAGGTGTGGGAGCAAGCATAAACAGACAGGGACACTGAGCCCAAACACCTGGGCTCAGACCCAAACACCTGGGCTCAGACCCAAACACAGAAAACGCAAAAACCGGTGTAAAAACCAGCACCCAAGAGTTCCCAGAGGAACAGAAGAAGGGCAGAACACCCCAGAAAAAGCAAAGAATTGGCAACAGGAGGATAAAACCCCTAAAAGAGGCGAGCTCCCACACCCAGGCACATGTAAACAAACTGCAGCACCGCCCTGGTGGCCAAGCAGGGAAACCCGCAGAAAGAAAATGGCGACCAAACAAAAGAGCCTCGACCAACACAATAGAGCCGAAAACATGCCAGCAAATATGGGAAGTAAGCAGACTAGAGGGACGAAAAATCCCGCTCAGAAGCAGAAGACCCAGGCAGGGGCAAACATCCCCAGAACTGCTAGTGGGCATCCTCCACAGACCGGGAACCTGCAACAGAAACCCCGGGGCACAGCTGTCCTCCACGCCCTCTGCCCTTAAAGAAAAGGGCCAAGAAGTTGGTCTTCCACTCTCACAGCACAGCTCCTGTGCCATGTAAGTCCACTACGGGCTCACTATAGCCCGTGCTACTTGGAACTTGTTACGAGTAGCTGAATCTATAACAACAACAACAGGAAGTCTTCCTCTTCTTCCAAGTCTTCCTTGGACTCTTTCCCTGGAAGAGTCCAGGGGAAAAGGTAGCAAAGAAAGCGGTGCTGGTAAGACCAAGAAGCCTTGGCAGGAGGGAACAGGCTCGAAAATCTCCATACCCAACCCGAACGGGGCAGCCCCTCGAAGCCGCCCGAGTCTCGGCTCTAATTAAACCCCGCCCCGACCCCAAAACCCGCAGACAGTCAAGAGTCAGAAACAGGGAGGGATAGGGGCGAACAGCACCTAACCAAAACGGGGTGGCCCTAGGGCATCCAGGTGGGAAACCAACCTAGCGCGTTGCAGCAACCTAAACCGAGCTTGCAACGCTGATGCCGCCTGTACTCTGAACAGTAATGACATCAGGAGAGTATTGGAGAACAAGCAGAGAACACAACTCGCAAGACTCTGAGTCAAGGTATCTGTGACCCAACAGGCAACATGATGGAGGTAAAAGTGGCGACTGTCACCCTGAGACAAGGGCACAGCAACCAATGAACCCACACAAGGCGGGATGGAACCTGGAAGACACATCAAATGGTCCACCGAGCCCCGACAGGGTTTTCCAGGGCCCGTTGACTGCCTGCTACGGGAAGCCCAGGCAAGGTGTTGCTAACCCGTTAAACACCCAAAGCTAACAAGAGGTAGACGCAACACTGAAAACCCCTGCGACATGTACAATCACGGGAGCCTAGCAGAGGGCCACCATACACTACCAGTGGAACTATAGCCACACTAGGCAGACCCCCACCAGGCAAATGAAAATAAAAACAAAAGAAAACCCCACAAAAGTACACCGTCCCCAGAGGCAACAGGAACCAGTCGCCGCGTAGGTGGCAGGCCGTGCAACACCTTGCGTTACACCCTACCCAAGGCCAAACAAGGGTCCCAAGCCCCAGCTGGGCCCAAGGGCGAGGCAAAAGCCGAGCAGCAAGAGCCTCGACGGGAATGGTTCCCAAATGCCCCAGGGAAGATAAACCTGTCACACAGGGGCAGTACTCACAGGGTGCTCAGGGAAGGAATCCCCTAAGCGCATGCAGCCCCAGTACTGATGAGGAACACCTGGCCACCGCACAACACAAAACCACAGCACTGAACGCTACGAAGGCAAACACCGCCTAGGAAACCGAGGCCAGAGAAGCGTCAGTCCCGGTTAGCTTATGAACTGGTGCTAGGCAGCTGGCGAGGTGAGGTCTGGAGCCACCCCCTCCCCCTCTTATGGAGGGGAGTGCTGTATGGACGAGCGGAGCGGCAGTAAAGTGTGATGTTTGCTTGTTTCCTTGGGATTGTAGGGAGTTTCTACCTCTGTTCGGTTTTTTGTTTTAGTTTCTTACCATGTGGGGTTTGTTTTGTTATGCTTACTTTTCTGCGTGCCTAACCCCAGTCGATGGCAGATAAGGAAAAAACCCAACCACAGGGGGGTTTTCCAAGGCCATTGCTCCCTGAAACCTCTCTGAAGGGGCCAGGTTCTGGCGCTGGTCCCTGGTAGGGCAGAACTCCATAGCTAATGTCCCAGTCTAATATAACATACATTAGCTCGATAAGCTTCCAAGGAGCCGTAGGGGCTTCCCACAGAAAGAACCCCAAAGCAACACATAAGAAAATAAGAATAAAAGGTAACTGCAGAAGGCCTATCCATGTTATGTGATAATTGGTTCCACAAATCGACAACCCTGTTACCGACCAGTATTTACCCAGGTCTTTCCTAAATCTAAACTTATCCAATTTATACCCATAGTTTTGTGTAACACGCACAGACTAACCAGACCCCAGAGAGAATACTCGGTTGCCGCTGAATGGAAGCTGTGGCGGCCACACTGCGTCCCACCCAACACAAACTCACTCCCTACCTGGGGCAAGACGAGAAGTCCAAGACCCCCGGCAGACCCAAAGGGAGAGAACACCACCAAACGATGAAGTCCTCAAATGGAAGTGAGACCCGAACAACCCAGGGAAGATAATCATGACTCACAAGGAAAGCACTTACCGGGCACCTAGGGAAGGGAACCCTAGGCGCATGCAGCCTTGTATACTTGTAGTAACACCTGGCCACCACACAACACAGCTGACAAAGTCACAAATGCAAAGCTAGACAAAAGTTTGAGGCCAAAGATGATTTGTGACACCGGGCACATCAGTCGACGAACTGAGGGTGGTTTGGCCAGCTCACCTGAGAGGGGTCCCCCCCTTCCCCGTCAGGGAAGGGTGACGCGCTAAAGAGCGGGCACGTTAGTTGGATGACATGTTCAATTCATTGTTTTCTAATGAGAGGGTGGGGGAGTTCTTTGGCTCTGTTTGGACGTAGGTTGCAATTTTAACCACTTTAGAGGTTTGTATTACCTACCTTTCTGGTGGTATTCCCTGTCGATGGCAGACATGACAAACTCTAAATAGAGAGCTCATATGGCCATTGTTCCCTCTGCCTCTTTGAGAGGGCTAGATTCTGGTTTGTGGCCCCCCAGTAGGCAATCGAACTCCAAGGACTGATGGCACAAAAACTTATATGGCACATGTCAGTTTGATAGCTTCATGAAGCTGACGGGGCTCTACACAGAAAATCTACTTTGTCACAGCATGTTAAATTCTCAAACATTTCATTAACTGTCAATTTATTATCAGTATTCAAGAACTATAATATGATGGCAAAATACAAACATTTAGCAGCAATCACATTCTAGTAAGATATACAATGTAACCCTTATAAAAATACAGTAAACAAAAACACATTGAATCCTTTCATTGTACAGTATTTTCATTTTGTTATGGTCGATGTCTTCACAAGCAGCCGAGCGATGTATCTTAAGTAATTGCAATTTAACAAATTCATATAACAATTTTATGCAGGAATGGAATTCCTTTCCAAATCATTTTTGAACAATAAAGTTTTAATAATTTTAATAATTTACTGAATTTCACGTTACCAAACAAATATTTAATACTTATATTTCCATTTGATATACAGTAAATAAAATACTATAATATATATATATATATATAGATGTGAAAAACTAACTTAAGAAATACATGGTCACCAACCTGCTGCAGTTGATCAAGACCACGTCCAGCATAATCAGAATGCATGTCCACGTACGCCGCCCCAAAGTGCCGCCACTGGAAGCCGTACACGGGGCCAAGATCTCCCTCTTCCCTCTCTGTAAATCCTGATTTATCAAGAAATTCTCTAGAAGAGTTTCCATCCCATATGTGGACACCTTTCTCCTGCAGATCTTTTGCGTTGGTAGAACCTTTGATAAACCAGAGAAGCTCTTCCACAACACCACGCCAAAACACCCTCTTCGTTGTCAGCAGAGGGAAGATACCTAACAAATAATGTATTTACTAAATATATCTTATTTCAATAAATAAACATTATTTTGAAAAAAAAAAAAAAAATATTACCTTGGAACAAATCTCCAATCTTATTGTACAGATAATTGTTCCATTAGCAACTTCATAGAATCTATGCCTCTTAACCCCTGCAATGTGCACTTTATTTTACATAACAATCCCCGGTGCAAAGAAAAAATAAAATTTCAAATTTAACTTGTTTTTCTTGAAACCCTCACAGGAATTTATATTGCAGTGCTGAACTTTTGTGTGTCATTTGAGAATTTTCTACATAAAAAATATGTAGAACATTGATACACACAAATCCTGTATGTTTATGAAGCCCATCCTCCTATTTAGGTAGTACTGTACATATAGTGACGATGATGACCCTAGTACATATTGATGTTCAGCCCAATTGGAAAGTAGAAATTGGACATATTGAATTTGGACAGACGAAAAACACCAGTGTTGAATGTAATAAAACGCCATTTTCTGGGTGAGACCCGGAGGCTTCCTGGAGTTATCCAGGCTGATATGGATATATTAGACTTTGGCATCAATCAATGTAAATGAAGTTCTACGCCTACCGGGGACCACGAGCCAGAACCTGGCCCCCCTCAGAGAGGCACAAGGAGCAATGGCCAATAGAAAGACCTATGTGGTTGGAAGCATTCTACGTCTGCCATCGACCGGGTCAGGCACCCAGAAAGGTAAGTGCCCCAAAACAATCCCCCCTATTTTAGTTGAGAAATTGCTACCTGAAAGCCGAACTAGTGGATAGAACTCTTCAACAGAAAACAAGGAAACTAGTATGACGTCATACGTCACAACGCCGCTATCTGCGCAGCTCCCCCCTCCCCAGGAGGGGGAAGGGGGGCCCCAGACCTCCCACGCCGGCTATCCACCCATCAGTTCTGAGGCTGGATGTCAAAACACGCGAAAAACGCCGACCGGAGGGAGGGAGGGTTGCCGGGGAGCCTCCGGGTCTCACCCAGAAAATGGCGTTTCATTACATTCAACGCTGGTTTTCTGGGGGGAGCCCCGTCGGCTCCCCAAAGCTAACTACCCACAGAGGAAGGTCAAAGGGACAAACCGGGAGGCGGACACCACGCACCCTCCAAGGAGGCGAGACAACCGGCAGCAAACGCCAACCCAAGGCGCCACAGCCCCGAAAATCCCGGGAACAACACGAGAACCACGAGCAGCAAGGCCCCTGCACGAACACCAAAAGCCCATGCCCGAAAGACTGCAATGCCACGTCGCCCAGACGGCAGCGAGAGCAGCGAAGCCACAAATGTCACAGGCATGAGGGAAGAACACAGGCAGCGTAGCCGCAAGAACACGGCTGACCACCCGGGACACCATCACCCTCGAACCGGGAAGAACAAAACCGGATCAACGCAAAACGCGCTCCGGACCCAAACGCCGTGGCACGCAAACAACAGCGGCGACACACCCCCGGCCCGACCAACGAAGCACCAACAAACCCTGGAACCCTCCAGAATGCAGCAGCCCCACCCCGCGCCAGAAAAGATGGAGACTGCTGCCATCAAACAACCAAAACGCTACAACCGAAGGAGCAAGAAAACTCAGCGAACCGACCCCCAGAGGCAAAGGCCTCAAGGAAAGAGCCGACGAAAAAACACACCGGAACCGAAGGGGCACTACCAACCGAGGAGAACACAGAGCACGCTGACCAGAGACCAGGATGGTGCAAGCGGCGCACAAACAGGCCGGAGGTGAAACGACGCACAAGACAGCTGACTAACGGTGCAGAAGCAACACCAAGACCGAAAGCAAGCTGAAGCGGCTCCGCCAGCGCCGCACGAAAAGAGGCGACAGTATGTGGCAAGACGACGGCCCCCAACCCCCACTAGAAAACCAAGCCGAGAGTAAACCAAGCTAACAAGAGTAACCACCTAAGAAGGGACAGGAAAAGGAAGGACCGCCAAAAAGACCCCATACTGCCGCCAAGAGAAGCACGCAGGTGGGACACCTACCACGAAGCCACCCGACCACCAACCGGAGGCGAGACCACGAGGCAGAACATAAGCAGCCCCGACAAGGCCCCTCCGAGCCCAGGAAAAAGGCAGAGCCGCGAGAAGATCTCGGGCGCGACCACCGAAACCCAGGCGGCACAAGGAGATGGAACGTCTGCCGAACAGAAAAACTCCCCAAAGCATGCAAGCCCGCCAGGAGTTCAGAAACGACGGGTCCGACGCGAGACATCGCAAGACCCCTGCACCAGGCGACCGACGGCGGAGAAACCCCGCTCGATACCTGCTGGATGAGGTACTGGGAGCTCTTTTACACCTCAAGCCCGGCCCAAGGCCAGGCTAGACCGGCCAGAGGGTGGCCCACCAGACAGCTGCTAGGAGCAGTCCACCGGCCCACATACCCCCACAACCAGGACGGGCCGGAACTGCCATACGAAAACAGGCTAGTGCGCCCTGGAAGTCCACGGACGAACCAGCAAGAAGGCTTATGCTCGCAAGTAGGTCGTGTACCAAGCACAGACCTCTGATGGTAATACAGTGTTCCCCAAATGTGCCAATAGCACCACTGCACTCCACTGGTACTATCCCGCAAGTTCTACCAGATAGGCGGGACCCAAGAGCCAGAGCTCAAATCCTGCAAGCACAGCCAGGAGCCTAACCAGGTGAGTACAGAACCAACCCTACAACCCCCACACCTCACAACATTAAAAAGGTGGGTCCCCTGAATGACTCCAGCATGGGTTGGACATGCACATGAGGGGGACAGGAAGGGGTGATAAAGGGACAGTCACTGGTGTGCGAACGGTCTCAGTCGTACAAAAATATACCTAAATAAAGACAGGTATATAAACACCGCCACATCCAGTGCCCGGCCAAAAGACGCCAGACCGCAGAAACTCACCTGGCGAAGGGTGGCACGAACTTGACACGACTCAACCGTGCCCAGAAGAACTTGGGAGCACCGCCAGGAGAAGACGCCAGAGCCGGACCCTGCCGGACCCGCAGGAGAACAGGGAGAGGCGAAGGAGGCGGTCCACACCCATGACACAGGGAAAACCGCGGTGTCCTCCCCACAACTGGAAACCAGGACACCCCCGGCGCGAAGGGGCACATACCGCAGCCAGGGAGAAGAACGAGAGGCGAAGCACCGTAGCAAAAAAGGGCGCAAAACCCCAGCACTGAAACACCGCCCAGACCAAAACAAACTCCACGGCGCATGCGCATAACACGCTGGCCGAACCGCACACCCTCCCTGCGGGAAGGCGCCCGCCAGGACTACTGCACGAGAAAAGGAGCCAAAAGAGGAAGCAGGAACAATAAAACCGGCCAAAGAAGCAAAGAGCTCAAAAAGGAACCCAACCGGGCGACAAGTAGCCCGACCGGGCGAGAAGCAGCCCGACCGGGCGACAAGCAGCCCGACCGGGCGACAAGCAGCCCGACAGGGCGACAAGCAGCCCGACAGGGCGACAAGCAGCCCGACAGGGCGACAAGCAGCCCGACAGGGCGACAAGCAGCCCGACAGGGCGACAAGCAGCCCGACAGGGCGACAAGCAGCCCGACAGGGCGACAAGCAGCCCAACCGGGCGACAAGCAGCCCAACCGGGCGACAAGCAGCCCAACCGGGCGACAAGCAGCCCAACCGGGCGACAAGCAGCCCAACCGGGCGACAAGCAGCCCAACCGGGCGACAAGCAGCCCAACCGGGCGACAAGCAGCCCAACCGGGCGACAAGCAGCCCAACCGGGCGACAAGCAGCCCAACCGGGCGACAAGCAGCCCAACCGGGCGACAAGCAGCCCAACAGGGCGACAAGCAGCCCAACAGGGCGACAAGCAGCCCAACAGGGCGACAAGCAGCCCAACAGGGCGACAAGCAGCCCAACAGGGCGACAAGCAGCCCAACAGGGCGACAAGCAGCCCAACAGGGCGACAAGCAGCCCAACAGGGCGACAAGCAGCCCAACAGGGCGACAAGCAGCCCAACAGGGCGACAAGCAGCCCAACAGGGCGACAAGCAGCCCAACAGGGCGACAAGCAGCCCAACAGGGCGACAAGCAGCCCAACAGGGCGACAAGCAGCCCAACAGGGCGACAAGCAGCCCAACAGGGCGACAAGCAGCCCAACAGGGCGACAAGCAGCCCAACAGGGCGACAAGCAGCCCAACAGGGCGACAAGCAGCCCAACAGGGCGACAAGCAGCCCAACAGGGCGACAAGCAGCCCAACAGGGCGACAAGCAGCCCAACAGGGCGACAAGTACGAGGAGCTGACAGACGTTCCAATAATGCGGGAAGTAGCGAAAAACCTTCCCGTACCCTTGAGAACACAGAAGCCAACACTAGTCCCGAAGGCACACGAAGGCGCAGGCGCACCCGAGATCAGAAGTCACGCAGAACCCCATTGAACGGGGGAAACATGACAAAAACACCGTCCCAAAAAGGGGGGGGAGGAAACATCCACCCACAGGACGGAACCAACCGACTCAAAGGCCAAGGAACCGAGCCCAGGGAGGGGCCGACGCCCAACAGCACGTACGGCGAGTGGGGAGGAAAGACCCCACTCCGCGTAACCACAAGCCCCGCCTAGAGGGGGATAAAAACCCCCACGGGGTCCAACGGGGGTCAAGGCCCCCCCAAGTCAGCCCCTCCCCAGCCCCAGGAACCTACACGACAGGCCCCAGGCCGAGCCGTTCCCCCCAAAGCCCCAGCCGTACCAGAAAACCGGGGCAGCCGTGAAAACACTAAGGAAGGGAGCCCACTGGCAGACTCATACAACACGGCTGGAGGAACAGGCCCAAATGCCCCCGTCACTACCCCGGAAGGGGAATTCCCCGAGACTGCCCGAGTCTCAACACCACCAAAAACCCCGCCCCGAACCTACAGACGATAAGGAACCGGATGCAGGCAGGAAGGGTGAACCAGGGTAAAGATAAGGGGGCGTGGATGGAACCGAAGCAACCAACACCCCCAAGTCCCAAAACGAACTACAACGGGGCAGCC